GAGTTTTGACTTCGCACTTATTATTCTCGACAGAAATAAGAACCATGACTCGAACTCTCGGTCTGTAAATTAATCCAGGTCAATCAGTCAGCCTCAACACTCGACGCCGTTGGACCACCGACCCCGTGACCCCACCGCAACCGCATTTCGCAGCCCGGGGGACGCGCAACCGGGACCCACTCCGCGCAGATCCCGTGGCCCGGGCGCGGAGGTACCTGCCCCACCCCTCGTGAGCGGCATTAACACTTCGTTTCTACGGCGGCAGGTGAACATGTACAAGCCGGGCACGCCAAAATAATGAGTGGATAGATGTACATGTCATATAAGCATAGTTAGAAGAAAAAATAAAAAGAAGGGTCGGGCTGTCCGAAATACATCGACTCACCCCAGCCGGCGACCAGCGCTGAATCCGCTCCCGTTTCCTCAGAACGTCCCGTCGAAAACTGGTGCCAATTGTTATTTTGCAACTGAATTGATTTTGCCTATAGACCTTACATCTCGAAATTGAAGGAAGGAGCATATAACGAAGGTGGCTACTGAGGAAAGAATATGTGGCAGGCACCGCAATGCAGCCAGCCTTAGCCAGCCCACCGCACCACGCCTTTTTGACGACAGGCAAGTTTCCCTTCTCATCCCGCACCTTCTGATTTTAATTTTGCAGTGTCCCATTTTGAGGCTTTTCAGACTATACATATCACTGAAAATTGACACCCTCACGAGTTGTTACGATATATCTTGATTTTCGCACAACTATGCTGCACATCCTCGCACGCAACTATTTGCGGTTTTCAAATCCTCTCTCTGCCCATCACCGAGGCTCTCCACGCGAATCATACTCACAGAATAGTAAGCTCAGTCCCTTCCACATTCACAAACCGCACCTTTCCTGCAGTGATACTACCACCAGCTTTCGCCGTCGCCTCGTTCACGATCCCGTTCTCATCCCAACTGAAATCGACAATCCCACCACCCCGAACCCGAAGCCCCTTCACGCTACCACCGCCCCATTTCTTCGGAATCGCAGGGCCCAACACCACCGTCCGCACATCCTCTCTCGAAGCATACGGCAGCGGCAGGTCGACGACCAGCATGCTCAACACAGCCCCGCCCAGGCCGAAGTTGGCATCGATCTGGAACGGCGGGCTTAGCGCCCAGTACATACTGAACCCGTTCGGCGCGAAGTTGACGTCAATCGCGTACCGCAGCTGCTCGTACGCCCGGTCCGTCTCGTTGAGCCGCGCCCAGCACGCCGTCCGCCAGACCTTGGCCCAGCCTGCGTTTGCGTCGTCAGCGTTGCCCAGGCCGCGGGAGATGAGCGTCTCGCGGACGGCGGACTGGATCGTGGCGTTGGTGTAACCGCCCAGGAACGAGGAGACGGAGTAGCCCGGGTGCCAGCCGGTGAGGTGCGAGAGGTGGCGGTGGGTGGACATCTCGTCGTAACCGTAGCTGTCGGGGAGCTTCCACTCCTTCAGGCCGCCCCATTCTGTCACGTGGACACCCTTGTCGAGGCGGTTCAGGTTGGAGGTGACGTCTTCGATAAACTTGGTGTCGGCCTCGGAGACGAAGGTTGCGCCATGAAGGACGGCTTCGAAGACTTGGTGGATCATTTGGTGATAGTGCGTGCAGCCGAACGTCGTCGGTCCGTGTTCGGGGCTGTTGCAGGGGTTGACGACCAACGTGCCGTCGTTGAAGTAGAGGTCCTCTTGCAGTTGAGAGAGCCAGAATTCGGCGACTCCCTTGATGAGGGGGTATCCCTGGCGGTTGAACCATTCGAGGTCTTGGGTGTACTCGAAGTTATCCCAGACGTGCTGCATCATCCATGCTGCGGCTGCCGGGTCTGGAAATTGTTAGAGAATGATGGGAGCTGAGGCAGATGAACTCACAGTTTGCCCAACTCGAACCTTCCTTCATCGCGGTATGTCCAAAGGTGTTCATCTCGTTATGAACGACCCAGCCGCTGGCGTTGTACAGAAGCTTGGCCGTCTCGGCTCCGCGAGGCACCCATGTGTCTTCCATGTAGTCCCAGAGAGCAGTCTGCGTCTCACCCAGACCTGTCTGGTCGGCTGCCCAGTAGTTCATCTGTATGTTGATGTTGGCATGATAGTCTGCGCTCCACGCAGGCCAAAGCTGCTCCGTCCAACGGCCCTGAAGGTTCGCGGGCAAGGAGTTAGCACGAGAGGACGTGATTAGAAGGTAGCGGGAGTAGTCGAAGAGCAAAGCCTCAACGTAAGGGTCGCCACCATCGGTGTACACATAGTCAGAGATCAGCTGTCCTGTCTCCTTCTCCTCGGAGCCTTGAGTATCCGGAAGGTTCAGCTCGAAAGCACTCTCCAGCTTCTGGTAGTCAGCGATGTGATCCTTCAGGATTGTATGAAAGGACTTCGATGCCGCATCTGAAGTCGTCTTTTCAACAATCGGACCGGGATCTCCTCCTTTGAAAGAGTAGTCGCTCTCAGCATTGCCGTTCTTCTGATCATAGTTCGTCTCGCCTCCAATGATGATCGTGAGAGCCTTCTGGTCCTTCTCTGGGGTGACAGTCAAGAAGTTTGCAGACGTGCAGTTCGTAATAGCGGCGCCCTTGTTGATCCGCGCGATTGAATCGAACTTCATGCCTTCCGGAGGACCGAGCTGAGTAAGGCCGGCGAAGCGAACGTGATCATCACCACAGGAAACGTTGAATGTGTCCTGCTCCACAAGCTGATTCTCATAGCCTACCTCGACCGCTGGCAAAGCCCCTTCTGAGGCAATATGGTATACACAAACCTGGTCCGGATACGAGCAGAAATGAGAAATCTCAAAGGCCGCGCCGTTCGCTGTGAACTTGGTGGTGTGTACACCTGTCTTGAGGTCGAGAGTTCGTCGGTAATCGCTGTAGTCGCTGATGCCTTGGATGTTGACTGTCAAGTTTGCCAGGACGCGGTTGGAGCCGTAGTCATCTCCGACACCGAGCAACGGCGACACATCTAGAAAAGCAATTAGTTACGCTGGCTCAATTGTGAAAATCTAGCCGCTTACCTCCTGTTCCATTCTCGAAGATTGTAGCGCGAATCTCCGGAAGAGCTTCATATTTGGGTTCTGTCGGGTTGCCGCCGGTGTAGTTCTGTTTGAGTTGAGCTAAAATTCTTGTCTGCATGGACGCGGAAACTTACTGAAGCTCCGAAGGGGCCACCGGCCCAAAGAGAGTCAATGTTCAGGTTGACCTTTTCCGAGCCGGGAGGGCCAAATGGGATTGCTAAAAACAGTTTCAGACTTTCCCATAAATCTGAGCTACTCCGACTTACCACCAAGTTTACCATTGCCGACTGGGTAGCCAGTCTTGAGAATATACCCGTCTCCATCTCGATCCCCAAAAGTAGCCGGGACGGAAGACCAGAAAGAGCGCGCTTCACACAAGGCGAAGCTGCCCAAGAGGAACCAGCTGGATTGGCCCTTCATGCTGACTTACGCAGACGTTCGCACCTAGCATCCATCATGAAAAGCACAGATGATAGCACATGTAGTCCTATTTGTACATCGCAACCCCGCGTCTCCCTCGATCGGGTCTCTACCGGGTGGCCCCTCGGAAATGACGATGGGGCCACTCGGGTCTGGGCAAGCGGAGTCGTGGGCTCGGTGTCGGTGTCGGGCGCTGGGAGCGATTGCCCGTGTTCCCTCCAAGAGCTAATTTCCCTCCAATTAAGAAGAAATATTGTGACATAAACGTGCATACCTAATCCAATCTAGACCCCGCTGGGATACTGATTCGTTTGCCGGAAAGCTCGGCCAGTTGTTGTTACGCGCTTTTTAGCAATGCTACTGCGGGGTAGACCGGCTGTCTTGGCAGACGTTGTAGGTGAGATTGGAAGTTAGTTCCGTGTTTTCATGTTCTACGCAGTCATTTTCTAGTAGCGTTAGCGATTCATGATTCGTTAAGTGTTGCATTGAGTCTATAAGTAGTTCGCATCCAGGGTCTTTGACTCGCCACGATAGTTGTACGCGAGCATGGCTCATCTCTAGTGAATCTTGTGATTGGCGCGGTGATATGAAAGAGCTCTAGTTGAATCATGATATTACTACTGTAGTGTTTTTGAGTCTCAGTAGAGCGCGCGATAAGAAGCTGACTACCAATGATCACAGCTGAAATTCTCTGCAGAGGCGGCCGCTCAACATACGATACCTTCATATCTTGTCGTGCTCGAGAGCAAAAGCAATCAATCGCTAATCTGCTATCCTAGAGGCATGAGGTAGGATATTGGCTATCTTTTGATATAAAACAATTTGCTTGGAAGTTCATTCCTAAATACTCCTTTGGATACGAAGAATTTCATTTTGGGAGTAGGTGATGAGAGTCGTCCGAATTATTTGACCGGACCCCATTGTTATGTCATTGCAACATGGCGAGGAAGCGAGGCAATTACTCATAGAGAATGAAGGAAGACACCATAATCCAGTTGCTACAGAATTGTGTATACGGCTCGTGTCGCTTTTTTCTACCTTGGGCTTTGCACGCGTTGATGAGGTCTCAATTGCTTGATGTTTTGACTCCGACCCCCGGTACATACTGAAGCCAATTCGTCTCACCTCTTACCAGCGAAACTCTCACATGGAGAGTTCAGTATGTCTGACCAATTCTCCAAGCAGAGTGGCTGTGATCAACTCACCTTTTACGAATGACGTCTTCGGTTAGCACCGTGTTCCGGTGAGCAGCCTGCGGCACTCTCCGTACCTAGTGCTTACTCTAACTTAGAGAAGGATGGACTTCGGATAGCCTTCCAGGTTCTCATCCAATCAATGCCTTGAATTCTTCGCGATAGTTTGAAGATCAACCTTCACTAAAGCCTGACGTGGGACAGTTTGTGGCCAGCGACAGATTGCCGGCCCGGTCAGCGTCCGGCTGGGTGGCGCCAGACCAGGTCTTTAAAGAGCGGAACCGGCCCAGTTCCATGTCTCACTTTTCAACTACATCCCGTGATCGTGATCCCATCCTCCGTATTCACCGAGAAGACGCGAATCTACATATCATGGGCTCAATCAGCAATTTCTCGTGGGAACAAGATATCCCCACCTTTCGGTCGGGGATTCAGGGCGATGTCCTCCTGCCAGGCGACGAGGGCTACGAAGCCAGTCTAGAACGCTGGTCTATCGTGTGCATCAAACCCGCGGTAGCCAATCCTCCGAATAAAATAAGAGTACCCGCACTGATAAGCTCCAGGCCGTCGTAGTCAAGCCAAAGTCAGCACAGGACGTCTCCGCCGCGATCCTTTTCGCAACAAAGCACAGCATTCCCTTCACCACCTGCGGTGGCGGCCACTCTACAGCAGGCACATCCTCCTCCAATGGCGGCATGGTGATCCATCTCGGCCACCTCCGCAGCGTTTCCGTCAACGTCGAAAAGCACCTCGTGACTTATGGCGGCGGATGCACTTGGAAAGACGTCGACGACGAAGCCTGGAAGCATGGTCTCGCCACCGTCGGTGGAACGGTCTCGCACACCGGTGTTGGTGGCCTCGTCCTCGGCGGTGGGCAGGGAATTCTCAGTGGAATGTACGGGATGGCCGTCGACTGTCTGGTTGAGGTAGAAGTTGTGCTTGCGGATGGATCGATTGTCACGGCCTCACAAACAGAGAATGGAGACCTTTTCTGGGCCTTGCGTGGAGCTGGAGCGAGCTTTGGGGTGGTGACGCGGTTCACTTCCAGGGTCTTTCCGCAAGGGAGAGTGTGGTCTGGGCCTTTGATGTATCCGACGTTGAAGTTGCCCGAGCTTGTAGCATGGGCGAACGAGTTCGTGGAGAGGATGGATGAGAGGCAGTACGTGGTGATGGGGTTCACCTACGGCCCGCCGCCCGACCCGCAGCCGCTCATCATTGTTCAGCCGTTCCACAATGGTACCGGAGAGGAAGTCAAGGAGGGCTTGTTCAAAGGCCTCTTCGAGGCCGGGCCGCTGGTGGACTTGACGACAGAGATGGACTACCCAGTTGCCAACACTTTGGTAGACGTCTTCCAAGGCCCCGGAGCGAGGCGACTGACTGGGGGCACCAACCTCACGACACCATTCGAGCTCTCAAAGTGGGAAGAGATGTCGCACGAGTTTTATGCACGCATAGATGCAGAGACCGCGCGAGGTAATGATATGCGAACCAGCATGTTAGCCGTGGAGATGTACAAAAAGGATAAGGTGGCGAACGTGCCATTCGGCGCGACGGCATACTCGAACCGTGGGATGTACTTCGACTGCATGGTGCTGACGTGCTGGACGGACCCGGCCAAGGATGGCGAAGTTCGCGGATGGAACCGGGAGCTGGCGCAGAAAATCAAGGGCAGGAACCATACTGGGGAGACTGGCGGCGTGGGACAGTACAATAACTACGTCAGTGAGGAGCTCGATGTGAGGGAAGGGTTCAAGGAGAACGCGAAGAGATTGGTGGAATTGAAGAAAAAGTATGATCCAGAGAACCGGTTCTCGAGGAGCCCTTGGAAGATTGTCATTACGTAGTTAAAGACGTCATATCATTGCTAGGAACTTTCAGATCTTGAGATTAACCTGCTTTCAACGCTTTCAAAGGATTCGGCGTTTTGATTGGAGTCTCATCTAACTTGGCTTTTGATGCAGGTGAGGTTTCAATCTCAGCCATGGGCTCATCTCCTATGTTTCCTGTTCCTCTAGATGGCTCACTTACGCCCCAAAACAGTAAATCGAACTCAATTGAATGTAAAACCTGAGGAGAGACCTTGGGTAAGCTAGCTCACGTTTTTAAAATTTAAATGAAGCAATCTTATCATTCTCTTCTTCATCTCTTCACGGTGGCAACATCAAAAGTATCCAGAGGTCTCAAGGCACAGCGGTTCACGACTTCTGACCGATTTTGACATGAATTGACACAACCTGGTTGGTTTCAGTTGGTTCATCGCCTGCACGCGTTGGCAAATGAGGTAATTTTACCCGGATATCCAGACCCAATGTGTGCGGCCATAAATTGCCCATGCTCCCTTGCATCCTTTTCTCCTCGTCATACTTCGAAGTGTAATCACATGATACGTTTTTTCCTATTCTTTATTCTACCAAACTCGAGCCAACATTCATCCGATCCCTTGCTTCGAGTGAGCACGAGTGTTACACGCAAATGCTTCGCAGATGCTCAGGATTCTGGTCTTCATGTAACCAACTAACACGGTCAGTGTTGTCAACTGCAAACATACCATCAGCCGTAGGGCCCCTATTAGACATGTCCAAAAGTGACGTTCTGAACTTATTAGTCGAGTGGTCGAAAGCTTCTCTAGGAGTAGACAGTTTTCGGACACCGTAGACAGTGCTACGAAGTGCTAACGATATCCTGCCGTGGCTTGGATCTTTCTGATTCACATAGATATGATCCCATTGTAAAATGAACGAGTTTCCAAGTCACAAAAATGACAGGGTGAGACGTGTAATTCTGATTACAATCTTGCTTTCAAGCTTAAAGCTTCGCTACGTCGCGTATTTAGGCTTTCTTCTGGCTGCAGTTAGAGCTTGGTGTTATGCAGAACGTGAACCTCACTTTGACGACACTGTCGTACTGCAGAAGACTTTCTTAAAGAATACGCAGAGGATCATTAGTGGCTACACTTTGAGCAAACATCACATGAGAACTGTTTGTTCATTCCTCCACGGCGCATAAGCTGCGATCTTCATCATATCCCCCCTTGCTTAGGACTCAAGCGAGCGTTGCTTCAACTGAACCTTCTTCCGATACGATAGTTCAGGAGGTCTACCCAAGCTTATTACTTGGCATGTTCGCTGGTATTTAAACTCAAACTCCGCAAGACATCACCAGTGTTTCCTCACACTTACTCCATCCATTACATCTTAGGATCGTTACAGCCTACCACTTGTCCTGTCAAACATTCTCGAAGGTCATAACCTAGACACCACTTGAGTCCGCCAACATGAAGGTCCTTGCTCTCACCATTGTCAACTCTCTGATCGCCGGATTGGCCGTGGCAAGAGATTGCCCTACCGAGTCCGACTGCATGCAGAAATCTTGCAAGGATTTCGCAATCAACAAGCATGCGATGCTTCCATTCGAAAAGAAGGGCGACTGAAAAAACCTGCTGGAGGCCGTCTGCAAAGACAGTCGGGGCAAGGAAGTGTACACTTGGCTGAATTTGAAGGAGTGCATCACGGAAAACCACGGCGCCCTGTTTTGGCAATACCAGTAACAGTTCCCCCATCTTTCCGGATTTATAACAGTGTTTTGACATATATCTACTAGGGGCAACTTTAGATGCTCGGCTTGCTATATCGAGGACCGAAAATCCTCTGATCCCGTTATGTTGTCATGCTTCTCCTACCGCACAGAGCCCTTGAAGATCAATCTCTGTGAGTACTCCTGTATCTTTCCTGGGTTGCATTGCGTTCCGAAACTAACGAGATTTCTTTACAGCCGAGGGCATCTGGGTCGATGATGGTGTCATCGGTTGCTTCAAGACCAACGGCCCCAAGGCCCCCATTGGAAAGTAAGTTGGGCGAAAGTGTTGCCCGTAAGAGGTGAACAATGTTTGCAGCTGCTTTAGGTGTAGTTCAAGAGTCTGCTTTCTGGTGTGACTGGGTCTCGTTCTATGTAGATATCATAGATTTTGACGGCTCAGCTGCTAGTCTTTATCCCACTTATCAAATTGTCGTCTGCTTGCAATGATTGAGCAGTCAGTTCTTCTTGTTGGACATTGTGTCACTCCTTTTGCAGGCATTGTCGATGCTTCATGGGCCGTAATAAAGGCAGGTGTATCTTGTGCTGCTGCCCTCGCGCGTAGGTGTACCGCCGAAAGATTAAAATCGCCGGTTTACCAACCTGAGTAGTTGTGTGTTTGATTCCTATTGATGACTAACTTCAGGCTGACAAACGTCAAAAGTGTTAGATTTCAATAGATGGGGCATCTTCATACTTAGGGCTACGAAAACTGGCTGTTGATTGTTGAACAGTAGGCGTCGTGGCTATGACTCCTAGGGTGTCTTTGCGATCAGCATGCGGGGGCGTCACAATGTTGCATGTAGAGATAGAAAGATTCAGTGAATTGCAGTTATCAAAACTTTTGTTCTCGCATACTTCTTCAACTTGAGCTTGAAATGAGAAACATCGTTGGCTGCGAGGACATGAAAGGAAAAGGGTATGAGTCACGCCCTGGCCACAAACTTGTTTTCAAGCTTAATGCTTGGCCAAGTAATTTCCGCTGTTGACTCTTTTTCTTAGATATAATCTCGGGTCCGGGCTCTGCAGCCAATATCAAGCAAAGCGACTCTCACTGTTCCACCGCCTCGAACATATCGAGAACCACGCAGGACAGACGGACATATGGTGTCACAATAGGAAGTAGCATTACATCCCCCCTGCGTCCCACGACTATGAGTTGAGGTCATGAGGCTCCTACGTCCTATCATTCCTTCTTGGCCCACCTTTACTCTACCACGCTCCCTACATGCTTTCTCGTAAACAGCTGGTTTTGTGTATACTCCTTACTGCTTCAAACGTTACGTCGAATGGCCAATCATCCGCCACGTCACGTATTCCGGAGTCTACCATACTCGACAATAAGTATTTAAATTCTCCCGCTTCACGGTCTCAACTGCCTTTTCCCACTCTCAACCATTCAGAGTCCCCAAGCAAATCCGGAAGCAAATACGAGTCTCTCCATCGTTCCAAGCCATCGCCAAAATGAAGGTTCTTTCCCTCGCCGCGCTCAGCTCTCTGGCTGCCACCCTGGTTGTTGCCGGAAACTGCCCCATTGAATCTGACTGCATCCAAACGGCTTGCGAAAACTTCGAAATGACTGATAAAGTGCAGTACACCGGCGGTCTCAATATGCCCGACACGAGACTGTCGCATATGCTGGGCGCTGTATGCAAAGATCTCCACGGCAACAAGGTGTTTAGCTACCTGCCTCTTAGCGCTTGCATCACAAACACCGACGGCAATATGGGCTTCTCCTACGCGTAAGCACTACCCTTATTCTCCCCTCACCATGTCCCCTCGAGTTCGCTTTATTGAACACCTCAAAAACAGGGGCAATTATGGCAAAGGGTGCAATGATTGCAAGATCCTGTCCCGCAAGAACAACGAAGACGTCATCATGGAATGCAAGTGCAAGGATAACGACAACCGCGGCAAGATCAACCTCTGTAAGTATCCCTCATCTCCGCTTTCCGACGAATGTCGTCCATGCTACCACATGGGTTTTCTTGGTTTCGAGTCGGGCCTTGTCACTGACCTCCTCTCAGCGCAGGGCATCTGGCAGTACAACGGCAGGCTGGGCTGCTACAGGGAGGAAGGCGGCCTGGTCCCCATCAGCCCCGTGAAGAAGAAGCGTTCCAACGAGCCGGACACCTTCACCTTGCCCTACCCCGTTGGGCAGACTTTCGATGATGTCCCTCAGTCTGTGGAACAGCGCACCGTCAAGCTCTCCTTCCCCGTTGGACAGACCGCAGACAAGATCCCCCATCCCGTGGAACAGCCCGGCGACGGCTCTACCCATGGCCCGCCAAGCACTCCGGACACTCCGGATATCTATATAGATGTGACCACCGAGAGACGCTCCGAAGAGCCGCGCGCTCTTGAGTTCCCCAGAGATGACAACGCGCCCTTTGGCGACGATGATAGCCGGGAGGAGCCGGCCTATGATGACGGCAATGGCAAGCGCGGTCGCAGCTTCCGTCAGTTTTAAGCAGTTTTAAGCGTTGGCTTGAGCTTCTCGGAAACCAGGCTAGGAAGCATCCATGTGGTTGAGGTGTGGTGAATGGCTTTGGTGGACTTCTGAGGACGTAGTTTTGCGGGAATTCCCTATGTCAGTATGGAAGGCTGGCCATACTGTCATTGAGTTTCAGCCACGGGAGTATTTGGGAAACATCAGACACTCATTAATCAGCTTAGAAAGCAATCAACTTCGCAGGCAACGCGTTCAGTTCCTTGAATGCATCTCCTTTCGTGCGTTTTGAGTGCGGTGCTTGTAGCCTGCTGTACAACGTCAATACCAATTCCCTACTTCTTCCGACACTCGAGACTTTGACCACTATCGTCGTCGGAAAAAGCCTTTGCTCGTAGCTGTAGGGAGGACAACATGTAAGTCCATCCTTGCATAACCCTCGTCACACCACAAACTTGCCCCCGCACCCACCACAAACTTCCTCCGACGTCTCAACACGAACCTCAGGACCGAGATGCTCCTGCGCGATCTTAACAACCTCCTTGGCCACAAGACACCGGAGTCCGCAAACAGCACACGCCCTCGAGATCCCAGGCGCCAAGATCGCCAATCCAGTGGCCGCGCAGGTAGCTATCACCATCAGCATGCATCCCTTAAGACACTCGAAAGAGTCCAGGCCGACTTACCAAAGATATGCCCCCCCTCACAAACAGACTCCTTGCCCATCTGCTTCAACGACGTCTGGCAAAACACGCATCTCTGCTTCTCCTTAACCTCCCTCAACCTCGCCTTCAACGAGACATCCCCGTCAGCATCCTCAGCAACCCCCGCTGTCTCTGTCGCAAGCGTCCCCGGAACAGCAGGCCCGCCGCCATACATCCAGTCCCACATCTTGGCCTCGGTGCTCTGCCGCTCCCAAAACGGCCCAGGCCGCCCCTCCTCATCCCCGTCAACATCCATCATCTCGCCGCCGCCACCACCTGACGAAGAAACCTTGCCGCCAAACATCACCCTGGTTTTAACAGACTTCTCCGGCTGCTGCGTGCTATGCTGCGACACCAGCACCGCCGTCACCCCGGCCGCCGGCGACACCGTCAGCCCCCACACCCTCACCCGGTACGGCCGGATCTGCTCGCCCGCGTCCTCGGGCAGGTCGAAGTCCTCATCGTCGCTGTCGTCATCGTCCGACGCGGCGGACTCGGCGTCGCCCCCCGCTGCCCCCCCGCTGCCGCGGCCGAGCATCGCCGCCGGTACCGAGAGCTTGACGGTCGAGGAGATGGTCTCGGCCCACTTGGGGAGGACCGTGTCGGAGAAGGTGTCGATGGCGTTCTGCTGGAACCAGTTGTCGTTGCTGCCGGTGGCGGAGAGCCGGACGAGGGAGTAGGAGGGGGCTTTGGTGCGTTTCGTCATGTCGGGGGGATGGATAATGAGACCTGTCACACGCTTCGTCAGTTTACCATGTACCCGGCAACAACAAAGCCTGCAAGGGGAGACCGACTCGAAATAGGATTCGTGGCGTCTAAAGACGTCGTATCCTCAGGGTACGTCGTCCCGCACACCTCCGTCTTGTGCCCCTCCTCGACCGGCCCCTCGGGCCCATTGAGCGCGACCTGGAACGGCTGCGCCTTGAACGGACTTCCGATCACGCCGCGGCAGACCTTAGCTCCGTCGTGATCCCAGACGGCGTCCTCCCACTCCACGAACGCGTCTGGGGCGAGGTGTGTGCAGATGCCTGTGACGTCGGCCTCTTCCACGCTCACCTCGACGCCGGCGCCGCGCGCCCAGGTGCGGGGGATCGTGATCCGGCGGAAGCCGACGTAGTTGCGCGCGCAGTAGGATATCACCGCTGTGCGAGCGTCGTCGGACAGCAGCCAGGGCGACCACTTTAGCGAGAACGCCGAGGAGTACGGGGTATAGTCCGGGTCTGTAATCTATAAACACACATTAGCAATGGGGCGGCGCATGATTTCCAGACGGCGACTCACGCTCGTAATGGGATGCGGCCCCCGCCCGTCGAACCTCGCGACCTCCTCCACCTCCCACACATACGCCCCGGCATCCGAGCCGTCGTCGTTCTCGTTGGGGAGGTAGTACTGCACGCTCAGCACGACGACCTCCTCCTGGTCCGTCGCGTACGCCAACAAGGCCCGTCCCGCGTCAACGCGCCGCGCCCACGCGAACGAGCGGATCTTGTCCTTGGGCAGGTACGCGCCGTCCTCGCTGTCGGCGTCGGGGAGCGGCAGGTTCGCGCCGGCGCCCCAGAGGATCCTCCAGTCGCGGAAGTTGCGCATGCGCGCGCCGAGGTCGATATTCCCACCGGCACCACCACCGGCACCGGCACCCCCGCCCTCGCCGAGGACAAGCAGGGCGCCGTTGGTGAGCATGACGGCGAGCACGGGGCGCAGGTTGCGGCCGACGCCGGCGGGGGACCACTCGAGGGCGACGAGCTGGTTGAGGGAGGCGCCGTAGCCGGTGACGGTGCCGGAGCCGACGCCCTCGAAGACGGAGGCCGGGTCGACATCGCCCGGGTCGGCGTAGTCGTCCTCGTAGGCGGGCGGGGCGAGCGACTGGGCGGCGAAGAGGGCGGCGTTCATGCGCGGGTCGGGTTTGCGGGAGAGGGGGATGCGGAGGATGTAGGTATAGTACTGCTGGCGGGACTTGTTCTCTGCGTCTTGGGATGCGGCGGCGGCGGCGGCGGGAGCAGCTGCTGCTGGGAGTGCGTCATCTTGGGGGTTGTCGTCGACGGCTTCGGGTGGAGGGGCGGCGGGCTTTTGGGTGGATGGGTCTTCGGGGGTTGGGTATTCGGGGAGGAAGACATGGACGGAGTCGTCTGCTGCTACGGCGAGCTCGGCGTCGCAGGAGAAGGCGATGGCGTGGGTTGCGAGAGGCCGAGACTTGAGGGTGAGAGTCTTGAGAGGGGGGATCTGGTTTGAGGGGCCTGTTAGCGGTAGGTTTTTGAAGTAGGTGCCATCGAGGATGGCGAGATCATCCATGGCTAGGATGAGGCATTAGAATGAGTGTATGATAGTAGTGTGTCGTCTGCTAAGCTGTAGAGTCGACGATGCGTATCTCTCTCACTGAGAGTAGGCTGATGAGCGTACATGCGATTGCAATGAGTTGAGATGGAAGGCGCAAGAGAATGGTAGCAGCTGTTCTTTCAGAATCAACTTGGGATGGAACCGAGATGTTAAGAGAGATATAATGGACCTATTCCGAGGAAAGCGCATCGCATGGTGAATGTGCCCATACCGAGTTCTCTTACAGCTTCTCAATCCAACAAACGGGCGGTCTCTACGTAATTCCCAGGAGAGAAGGAACGGCCAGTTGCAGCAATGACACTCTACAGAAGGAATATGATTAGACAAACCTTATTTTTATCCATTTTCGAACGAGATCTTGTGTCTGCGGCTATCCATGAAGCCCAGAGTGTTATGGTGGAACGGCCAGTCTCGAAGGCATTTCGCTAAACACTGGGGCAAAAGGTTTTGAGAAACATGAATCTCGGTGAGGGGCTCGGTGAGTAGTCACGAAGTAGAGGCACGTCCCGGCATTACACCGGATAATCTCCACCAGCTTCGAACACCTTAGCGATGTTACGGCAGCTGCCCATAGAGAGATCAATTCAGACCGAGCTGCAGGTAAGGTTACAATTAAGAAATTGTTCACGTGTACGGAATTATGAATTGAAAAAAGGTAAAAATATCCAATATCATGCTGTTGCCTGCCCAATTCCTTCAACGCCTTGCTATGGATGCACTCATCAAGTCGATTTAGATATACAGTACACGAAGAACAGAACGGTGAGTTATGCCTTGACCGCTGCATGGCCGTTCTGGCCGCTCGTCTTCTCGGCCTCATCATCCGATTTCTTCGGTGCTTCCAGGAACGACCCGAGAGCCCAAAGCAGCGCGCATCCAAGCAATGCCGTAGCACCGACCAGCTTCTTCTCCCACCAGTTGTCATTCGTCAGCGGCTTCGCCATCTGCACCCTCTTCGCCTGCGCCTTCGCCTTCTGCTCCTCGCCGCGCGCAGCCTTCTCCGCCAGCGTCGCGTTCCTCGCCGCGGCGTCCGCCTCCTCGGCCCTCTTCTTCAGCGCGGCAATCTTCTGGCTGAGCTCCAGCAGCTCCTCGTCTAGCACCATGTTCTTCGCGCCGTCGACCTCGACGTTCTGCACGTTGCCGAAGAAGTCTGTGATGCGGCGGCTGCGCGCGGCGTCGGCGCCGCCGGGGAACAGGTCGTAGCGCACGCCGGCGTTGGAGTGGATCTTCTCGTAGGTGTAGCTGTCGAACAGCTCGCCGACCGTCTTCTTGGAGCTGAGGTCCTGGACCTGCGACTCGAGGAACTCGAGGTTGTAGTAGGTGTAGCGGTCGATGACGGCGACGCCGACGTCGTTGTCGGCGTGGTGGGAATAGGAGGACTGGTCGAGTTCGGAGGAGCCGGTGGCGATGATGTTGGGGGAGTAGAGCTTGCTGTACATTGTGTTGGCCTGGCATGTATCGATCATGAAGAGGATTTCGTGGTATCTATACAGTCAGCATTGGTGGCAATTGAGTCTCGGGGTTCTCAGGTCCCTACCTCTTCTTCTCCCACATCTGCTCAAACGCATCCGCCAAGTCGAACGCGCCAATCTCCTCAGCGTCCTGGAACTTCAAAAACTCGTTGCCGCCGTGGCCCGTCATGTATACCAGGATGTTGCTCCGATCGTCCGTCAGCAGGCGCTTGCTGCGCGGCATCTCGTCGCCGACGCGGTCGGTCAGCAGGCGGATGAAGTTCTCGACGGTGACCTCGTAGCCGCGGTAGTCGACCTCGATGTTGTCGCCGTACAGGTCGACGGCGCGGTCCGAGTTGCTGTAGACGGTGCCCGGGAAGGCGTTGCGCGGGTTGCAGGCCATGTCGTCGGGAAGCATGAGGATGATCTGCGAGTCGGGGATGCCGAGACGCTTGACTGTGCGGTAGATGGAGAGGACGTTGGCGAGGTGGCGGTAGTTGAACCAGAAGCGCGAGGTGCAGACGAGGACGGCCCAGTTGCTGGTGTGCTCGGCGAGGACGGCCGGGGCGAGCGTCGAGGCCGCCAGCAGGACTGGCAATTGCAGGAGGCGTGAGAGCTTCATGTCGGCGCGGATTTCTGGTAGGTGTTGAGGGGGAATCAACGGATCGAACTCGGAGGATCAAGGGAGATGAGGGGCCGCGTCGGATTGAAGTTGTTGATGGAGGCGACGGGTTGGTAAGGGGGAGTGCCGCGGAGCTACATCCTGACAAACACTACCGCCAGGTACCCGACCTTAGTCAGCCCGTTGGTTGCGGGTGGAAGCACGGTCCCAGGGCCGCGGGGAGCGTTGTAAATCGCGGGTCGGTTGGCGTGCTCCACTGAACAAGATCGGTGTTAGGTACCTTACCTCGAATACCTACGTATTCGCATCCAACCGATAGGTTTGGTGATGCGTAGAATCAGAAATCCCGATCGTTTCAACGAACAAGTAGTATTCTGAATCGTTCAATTCCCATAAAAGATACACTTTTGAATTGTTGAAATCCGACACTGCTAAGAACTATGAGAAACATGTTGAGTTGGAGGTACCTGCAGATACCACGATTGAATCGAAATCGACCCCTGTCGGCATGTACCAGACAGCTGGGTGCTTGGAATATCCATCATCATCAGACAGCAACCCCCAAGGTTGCCGCAGAGTTGCTGCTCTTGAGCGGAAGAAATCAGCCAATCTGTGACTGGCAGCTCACTTCTTGGCCAGAACCCAGAGAAATTCGGCGTCAACCTCGTCGTCAATGACATCCTTGATGAGGATTTCCAGCCCAGTCTCCTTGAGCTTCTCGAGCGTCGCCTCGGTACCCCAGCCGCTCCAGTACATCCATCCCTTCTCGTGCAGCCACTTCTCCATGACGACCCCGGGCATGTTCTCGGACGCAAAGTTGACGAGTAGGAAGCCGCCGGGCTTCAGCCATCTGGCGAGCCGGCGAATCATCTCGCTCTGCTCCTCGCGGGGCAGGTGGATGACACTGTACATGCCGACGATGGCGTCGAACGAGTTCTCGGAGAACTCGAGCGCCATCATGTCGCCCTCGACGAAGGTGACGCGGTCGCGGCCGTGCTTGGCGAGGTTCTCCTTGGCGATTTCAATCTGGACGCTGGAGATGTCGTTGGCCGTGACGAAGACGTCGGGCGTCGTGAGCAGCCGGTCGGTGACGGGCTGGCCGCAGCCGCAGCCGAGCTCTAGGACGAGCGACATCTGGCCGGCGAGGGGCTTCGCGGCGAGCAGCTTCTCCATCAGCTTCTCGAGGTACTCGAGACGCAGGGAGGACTGCTGGTCGGTCCAGCTGTTGTAGGCCGGAGCGATGGCGTCGTAGGACTCCTTCAGACGGGCCTTGACGTCCGCCGGGGCGACGGCGACCTGCTGGTCTGCTGGGCGTTCCGGCATTATGATTGTTTGTTTGTTTGGATTGATTTGGTTTGGTCTTAGACTATCTGAGTGTCTGTCTTTCCCTGTGTGTGCCTGATGCTCTTGCGAGTATCCCCGTAAAAGTCAAGTGACGCCCTTTTGCGGCTTGACTATGACGAGAGAAGGGAAGTAAAAGACGATGGAGGAGGGGAACAGATGGGGTTTAAATAGGTAAGATGCGGAGTGATTGATCATGCTGACACTGGCACGGATTGAGGAGGGGCTTTTAAGTGCGAGCTTCGAGCCTCAAGATGGAGGGGAAGTTGCAGCACGGGCCAATTGTTTGCGATTGCATTCTAGGGTCCCTTAACCTGTCTCGGTGGTGAGAGTCATCGGCCAGAGTCACTTGGGATGTTTTGTTCAATTCCAAGGAATTGACCGCTTAATTGACTGTTTACCGGCCACTTGAATGAGTCTTAAAACCAAAGTTCCAACTGCGATTGAGATCCTCAGCGTAATGAGTGCAGCTAAATATGCAGGACAGTAGGCGAGGAGGAGAATCTGGGGTGGAGGACGTGGGGACGGCGGCCGACGGGTAAAGAGGGGTGGAGGGGTCCTGGGACACAACCTGGGCCTGGGCCGCTGGAATTAGAAAGACCTGATGGGTCTGGAGGAGCAGACTCGGAGAAGTCAAGTCCGAGATCTCGAGCCGCCGTCGCATATCCGTCCGGCAGGGCGTCAAGCTGGTGATGATCACGTTCACGGTCTGCGTCAGGATCGTGTGATGCTGGGGGACCTGATGGTCTGGAGTTGCCGGATGCAGGTCATCGCAGCAAACATCAGGATACCGCTGCCAATGCGGCTTGCAATGAAAACCGAACGAACCCCGCTGAGCAGAGAAAACGTTGTTGATGGGGCGATGGGAAAGTTTCCATACCATCGGGCTGATTTTGGTGTGGCACTGAACTGAGTTTTGTGCCGTGAGATGGCAGCAGCAATTGCTGGATGCCTTGGAATCAGTCCGAAGCTTTAGCGGAGGTTGTTAGGTTGCCGGCCCGCTAAAGTCTGATTACTTAAGCTTAACCGCACACAGGTCTGCACCTCGCATTTCTGGTCAGTGTCGCGTCGATTTTTTCCTGCCTCCCCACGTGCCGTAATGACGTTTGGCGCTAGCATTGAGGGGGGACAATCACATGCACAGAATGCGAAATGAGCTCTCTGCAGTGTCTCTGCCAGGCTCCACTTTGGCGAAGAGGGGAGGGGAAAAGTGACAACTTGCCCCAGAGACAATGGAAAGAGAGAAAGCCCGCTGCAACCCGCCCGAGCAGGACCGACGTGCCGACGAATGCCATCCTCCATCCAAGACTCAGAGACTCCAACGGCTGACGCGCCTGGTGTACCAGTGTAGCAGCACCAAGCAAGACCTTGCTACCTTACCCTGCGTGTGCCTGTCTCGCCATTGCGCTGCCTCCTGCGAATAGAGACGCAGGCCGCAGCCAGAGCTACGGAAGCTCCAGCAATAGCAACACCGGAGGCAATTGATCTTCGCCCCCCCTTCGCAAATTGCCAGTGAGCTCCCAGCCTGTCACTTGTCGAATCGATGCCAGCTTGGGCGACACCACACCACCATTGGACCATTGAGTGCGACCCTTGACTCTGGCTTATGCCCCGGTGGTGGTGGAGCGTCGACTCGTCTCGTGCAGACCGGACCACACACCAAGCCAAACAGAACCGAACCAAACCAAACCAAACCTGTGCCGTCTGGCATCCCCGGTCCTTGCATCATCATACCTTGACGAGGACGAGGAAGCAAACAAAGAAAAACTGCCCCGCCCCGCGCTGCGCTGCACCTCGCACCCAAGACCCTTGCGCCTCGACGGCAGCAGTCCCAGCATCCCAGCAGCTGCCAGCAGCACAGAGAGGAACTGCACAAAGAACCCTTCTGGAGGCTTTCCCTCATCATATCTATATCCGTACATACATATCCATACCCGTACGGACCAAACGGCAACAAAACAACAACCCTGCTCGCCTCTTTTGTTTGCCTGTGCCTGCCTGCCGCACTGCGCCTGGCCCTGTCAGACCCTGCTTGCGCCCTGGGGCCTTGGTATCCGATCGCAATAATAACTCCTAGCTGCCCAGCCCGCGCTGCGAGCTATGCTAGTCTCTGCAATCTGCAGAACTGAGGAAACCCGCGCGCTGCCGAAATATTCTCCACGACACCATCCCTCCACCGACGGCTGACCGACCCTGACTCTGCCAACTGCCCTGCCCGTTCCATTCTGTTCTGGGTCCAACGGGTCTCCATACCTACCTACGGATACACTCCCGTCCTCGCTTTTAGCGCTTGCGAAGTCGGTGCCAGCTGGTCGGAGAGAGGGGCTGCAAACACCGGATGACCGACGCAAAACTCGTCGATTATGAAATCCTCTTGACAAAGTCTGCCGCCGCCGTTGTTGCCTTTTTTTTCTGCGTCTCACTCAAATCCGACATTGTCTTCTCCTTCAACAAAATCCGACGATAATTCGGTACTATCGACTACAGCAGCTCGCCGTTTTGCGCCAACACAGACGCCGCATCCCCAACTTATAGTCCGTCCTCGCTACTTCGCGCTTCGTGCTCCCGCCGCCGACCGAAGCTTATTCCGCCCGTCCAAGCCATCCGATCCCCTGGAGGTCCTAACTGGTGCGACGTATCTCTAGCCGCAGTTCCAGCTGCCATTATTTGATCCTCCGTCTGTTTTCCCTCCTCACTAAAGGTGTCACGCACGCCTCTTGCCGTCACCTAGATCCAAGTCTGCTCCCGAACGCCGCCCGAGTGGACATTCCCATCCGCACCCGCGTCGCCAGCAATATGGGGCGCCCGCCGGCGTACATCTTCGTTGTCAGGTTGGTAGACCTCGTTCCTGGCCTGTCTCTCTTCGGATACTGACGCTTCTGCAGGCACGGCGCACGTCTCGACGGCGCTGACAAGAGATGGCACCTAACATCCCCGACTCCCTACGACCCTCCCCTGACCTATGGCGGCTGGCAGCAGTCCAAGGCCCTCGGCGTCCGGATTGCCAGTATCCTGCGCCAGGCCGAGGCTGATTCGAACAGGACCCCGAATGGTCGTGACAGCTCGACAGACTCGAAGAAGCGACGCAAGTTCAAGGTCGTACTCCACAGCTCCCCGTTCCTACGATGCGTCCAAACCTCCGTGGCCATTAGCGCCGGCCTGGCCCAGGCTCCTCCCCTAAACACGCCTTCATACCCGATGCCTTCGCCCAGCACGAATCCTTCCGCCTCTCCCTTCGTCCTTCCGGCTTCTGTAACCGAGGAGGTTGATCCCCTCTCCACCGATGCGAGCGAGAACAAGCCCGAGCCTCCCAAGAAGAAGATCAAGCGGTCCACACTACGTCTCGACGCCTTCCTGGGCGAGTGGCTTTCCCCCGAATACTTTGAGATGATTACGCCTCCCCCAGGCTCCGCGATGATGCTGGCAGGTGCGAAGGCAGATCTGCTCAGGCGGGAGAACATCAGCGCCCACGACCAGATCGTGGAGCACTCCCACCACCACGCCAGCTCGGTGGGCCAGGCCCAGAGCCAGCTGTGGAACAGCCCCAAGTTCAGAGCAACCCCCGAGCGATCCGGTTCTACCGACTCGAACGCGCCGTCCATCTTCGGTCTGGATAGCGGCCGGCCTAGAAGTCGGGCGGACAGCGCAGCGAGCTCCTCCAGCCAGCGTGTCCGCTTCACGGTCCCCGAGCCGGGAAACCCAAAGGACGGATACGTCGCCCCGACCCCGAACTACGCCGTCTCGTCGAACGTGAAGATCCCCGACGGCTACGTGGCGCATGCGAGGGACGCCTGTTTGCACGTGGACTACCAGTGGGACTCGATGAGAGAGCCGTTTGACTGGGGCGACGGCGGCAAGTACGGAGAGGAGTGGACGGCCATGCACCAACGGTTCAGACGGGGCGTGCAGAAGCTCGTGGACTGGTACACCACGGCCGAGCGTCCAAGCGAGATGGTCACCAAGACGGTGAGGACGTCTCACAACGGCGACACCGAATGCGCTATTGACGACGACGATGAGGAAGACGTGGAGTCGGTTGTCATTCTCGTTTCCCACGGTGCCGGCTGCAACGCTCTCATTGGTGCCATTACCCATCAGCCGGTCCTCATGGACGTAGGTATGGCGTCTTTGACCATGGCTGTCCGCAAGCCGAACCGCGAGGCCGAGCCCTCTGCCCTAGACACACCCATGTCGGAAGTTGCCGACCCAATGTCTCAGGCGGGAGTCATCCCAGTTCACCAATACTACGATCTTAAGCTGTTCGCAAACACCGACCATCTGAGGCCGAGCTCATCCTCTACACACAACCTCTCCAGAGCCCCTTCCACGGCGTCAAACTCGAGCCATTCTCAGAATGGTCAATCAGGCGCCCGTGGCCGTATCGCGACGGGAAACGGGGCGTACACGCCCGCGCCCATCACCTTTAACCCGGAGTCGTTCGTCTTCCCGGGCAGCCGCAGCACATCGGCAAACGCCAACCTCGGCAGCATGCGCCGCACATCGCACAACAACACCTACTCCCTCCCTCGGACACCTGCGCTGAACACAACGGGCATCACCGTGGGAAGTGGCGTCACGAGTTTTACCAACACCACCACAAACTACAACAGCAACAATAACAACACGAATGCGTCGCCTACACTATCTGCCGGCCTATGGTCGCCAATCACGCCCAAGAAGGACGCAGACGAAGAGGAAGAGGACGACGACATCTTCCCCGACTTTGACCACCGCAAGAAGCTCGCAGCCCTCTCCAAGCAGGGCCCCGAGATCGTTAAGCCCCCGACGCCCGAGCGCAAGGAGCCGCAGTTCGGCGGTCCTACCAAGGTGCCCCTGCGGTTCCAGGAGATCTCCCGCCCGACCTCGAGCGACGGCGCAGAGGAGGAGAACAAGGTGCCCCCACTGAGCTTCGCCACTGGCGGCGGCCTCTGGGGCGCGCCGCGGCCGCTGGGCGAGACGGAGATCACGCGCGACATGACGACGTCCAAACGGCGATGGACCGTCAACGAGCGCGCTTAGTGACTACCGCAATTAGAGCATGACGCATTATGGAAGCGAACAAGATAGAATGATCGGCAGACTGAGCGAGCGAAAGACGCATAGCAAGTACAGGACAGCATGGGCATGGTCTACAGCGGAAACGCCCGTACACAGATACGATGACAAACACAAACATTTGGGCGGCGAAGGATACAACACACAACACATCTCAATTTGAATCATTCTGCATGGCGTTACCATTTGGGGGATTTCAAACGCAAAAAAAAGGGAGGGCAGGCAGTCAGGCAGTTATCAAGGAACCCCCAAAAACGTACTTTTTGTAATTACCACTCAAAACTGAAAGAAAACCATTAGCGACGGAGAAGGCAGGGTTTCTCTTTTTATTCCGATTCATTCTGCGTTCTAAAAGCATGGAGGGAAGCAAGATAGATACACAAAACACCAAAAACATCGCTTCTAACAGCACGATACTAAGTATTTTTTGCAAAACACGTGTGTACACATAATCTTTCGACTCCAGGCTTATTGTCTATTATGATGATTCAAGGGGAACTACACACTACGTGAAACAGATTCGTGACGAGTGCCTGCCTGCCTTTCTCCTGTAAACGCCTTCCACAACCGTAACCAAAAGTTTGAAGGAAACCGTCATCTAGTGCCCAAAAGCCTTGTTCATAGCCTGGTGCGCCAACTCAACACCCAAAAACGTAGCAGCGTTCGCCGGCACGGCTCTCGCGAGCGCGGGGCCGAAACCAGGGAAGAAGGCCTTCACACCGCCCCGGCCGTACACCTCCCTCACCACGCCGCCGAGCGTGACGTTCCCCTCGGCAGTCTGCAGGCGCGACTTGACGGTATCGACCGGGAACACGGGGATCCACATGGCCACACCAGCCGCCGCGCCCGCAGCAGTAATAGCCAACAAACTGAGCTCGCCCGAGGGCTTGCCGGAGACGGGGTCCTTGGGGGTGAGCCGGCGCTTGATGTACTCGTAGGCGGCGAAGTAGGCGGCGGAGCCGGGGCCGTCGCGGGCGAGGGTGGCGGCGGAGCCGCGGAAGACGGAGCGCAGGCCGCCCTCGCGGTAGAGGGAGCGGACGACGTCGAGGCCGCCGTTGTATTTGGGCTTCTCGCCGGGCTGGAGGCGCTGCGACTGGACCTGCAGGATGACCTTGACGCGCTCGAAGGGGGCGGTGATGGCGGTCATGGGGATGGCGGAGAAGAAGCCTGCGGCGGAGACCTGGGCGATGGAGAGGGGCGCGTCGGGGGAGGTGCGGACGAGGGTTTTGCCTAGGTCGTAGCCCCAGAAGGAGACGGCGACTTTGAGGACGAGGTTAGTTTGTGGAACAGAGGATGAAGGGAGGGCAGGGGGGACTTACACATGGGCGTGACACCGACCAAGGGCGCGCTGACGCCGGCGTACAACCCACGCCTGAGGCCATCGCGGGCGATGCTCTTCTTGACGACGTCGATGGCGCCCGAGTAGACGCCGCGGTCGGCGGTCTGGAGGCGGACCTTGACGAGGTCGAAGGGGTGGCCGACGACGACTGCGCAGACGCCGCCGAAGCCGCCGGCGGCGAGGGAGCGCAGCTGGGCGGCGAGGCCGGAGGTCGCGGCGGCGGCGTCGGCCTTGAGCTCGTCTTTGGACTCGGGGATGTGGGGGGTCGGCACGGGGAGGGACTTCAGCTTGGAGTTGAGGGAGGAGGCGGCGGCGGCGGCGTCTTCGGGCGTGGAGGGGGCCATTGTGCCGGGGGGGTTCTGGGTTGCGAGTGGGAGATGAGGGTGAGGGTGAGATTGAGGTTGTCGTAGGGAGAGAGAAGTAGGTGGTGATGGTGGTGGAGGAGTGGTGTTGTTTGGGAGGAGAGGAAGGAAGTCCGGAGGGCTTTCACGTGTTTCGCGATGTAAGCTGCCCTTGTTTCTGCTAGTGGGTGGTGGTTTTGGCGCAATTGAGGAGGAAGCTCGGGCGGTCCGTTCCTGGCGCTGGATAGTGTATGCGGTAGGAGCGCTAGTGTTCTTGTTGTGCGTGCAAATGTGCGCCGCGGCCGGTACTCCGTGGAGAGCTTTTTTTTTTGGTGTATGTGTCGATGTTGCAACCCCGGATGTGCTCGAGATGCTGCGATGGCGGAGGTAGAGGGGGAAGCTATGCCGCTACGTCACTGAGCCGAGGCAACTACATAGGACGGCCCACTTTGCGCGGTACTCGCGGTGGTCCACTGGGAGAGAAAGAGCAGTGAGTCCTCGTGATGCGAGTCTGTTTGCGGAAATGGTAATTCTCTTGGTCAAGTTGCAACTGTAAAAAAGATTTGTTGATGAAGCGTGACGGCGACCTGTGCCTGACTAAGAGTACATAAAAAGGACAGAGCGTCATCTTCTTCATTTTTCTGTGCCTCCCCAACTTTCTCCAAAAAGCTCATCCCAGCATTGGCGGCGGCGGCAGCGGGAAGAATGAAACCCTCTGTCTGCAATGATGGAAGTGCCCGCCCGTGCCTCGGTCGTTCGGCTCATTGTCGCCTCTCCAGCGCCCCCCTCCACCTTGATCCGGGGTTCTGGGGGAGTGCAGTGCGACGGCGGCAGCAGCAGCGGGCCCGCCGCGGGGTTCACGGTTGTGCGCTAGACTTTGGGGGAGCACCACGACACAGCTACCAGTATCCCGTCCGTATCCCCTTCTGCCAGAGGTTGCACATGGATGTCGCCATGAGGCGCATGCTTCTGGACGAAAGGGCCAAACGGCGCGTTCCTGAACCTACCTATCATGTACATACAAGTAGAACCCGCGTTTTGGCTGGGAGTTCAAGGTTCTTTAGGCGGAAACCGTCGTCATTCACAAACATCGTGTGACCCTTATGGAGTGGGGGGATGAGATGAACTCAATTCCCCGATGCTCCCTTTGCAGCGCCGGCATGTGAAATCGCGTCTTTTGATGACGGGGAACTGCCAGAGACACTGCGTGTGTTCCACTACAAGACAGTTCAGTTTCACCTCTAAAATTAACGGAGCATCTTCCGCAGACTTGACATTCAAACTCGACGATCTATCTTGAGAGATGAAATGTTTGCGCCCTCGAAACTGCACAACATCTTACCCAGAGCATTAGGTTCAACACCGTCACAACCATTACCCCGGGGAAACGGACCAGTTGAACTCCTGCAAGCCTGCAAACCTGCAGTTCTTCAACCCCGCGAGATCCGGCACAACAGAGGATCCCTCACCACAACAAACATCTCACTGCATCCTATCCCCCCCAAATCTCTCCAATCTCATCCTCTGCACCACCCCAGTCCACCTGCACGTCAAGTGACAGCTGGCCCGCACTCCCTCATCTCGCCTTACATTGGCCCAGACCTGCGCACCCTCTCCGGGCGGACGGAGGCCTTCTGGCGGAATGGCCCAGCCCTCGCGGCGCGGGATGGAGGGTGGATTTGGTCATCAGTTCACGTCACACCCTTCGGTTCGACGGAACATACACGTCCCCTCGCCCAAGTCACATCATCCCCAACACACCTGCAGCCCGCTCGAAAGGGTATCTAGTCTTCCATTGCCGCGCAAAATATGTGCGTCTACTCATACAAAGTCTTTGAATGCCGTCGCAATGCCTTTCCGTGATACGAGGTCCCTGTGTATAACGTTTCCCCCCCAGACTCCGACATGAACAGCTGTACTCGAACAAAGAAAAGGAAAACCAAAACAAGCCGAACCAAACTGTGCTGGTTCTAATCCCCAAGAAAAAAAGGGTACCACGTCTCCAACTCCTCTATCACCGCACGTCTGTATGTCCCCTCGTCTTCACCGTCTCGTGGTCTAGTCATAGAAAAGAAGTATACGCGGACGAAGGCCTCTAGTCCCGCTTCGTACGGCCGTCCTGCTCCACTAAGGTCTCGACAATCGTCGGCACCGGTGTCATCGGTGGTACGTTCTCCTAAAACGCCCTTTTCAGCGGTGTTGTCGCAATTCCTGTTGACCGGCCCACACCGCACCAACAACTGGCATCTCCTTCTCTCTCGACCTGGATGACAATGTCCATTGAGTTTCGGAGGAGGTATTCGCGCACCCGGTCGCGCACCTCGTCTAGGCCGGCGCCGCGTCCTGCCACCACGTGCACAATACCTTGCAGCCTGTCGCCCGAGTCTTCGGTGCTGCGGTCGTCCATCCAAAACTTGGGCACAGAGTAGTTGACCACCCCCTTCTGCTGGAGGATGCCCGCCAGCGTGTTGCGCAGATTGTACTCGACGTCGTCGGGGATGTTGAGCATCAGGTTGCGCGCCGACGACTTAATCAGCGGAATTGCCGCAAGGAAAATCAGAATCGCAATCGCGCATGATGCCAAGGGGTCCCAGAAGGTCCAGCCCGTGTAGTAGGTAAGAATGGTCGAGAGCACCACCGAGGCGCTGCCCATCGTATCGGCCAGAACATGCAGAAAAATACCCTCCATGTTGTCGTTATGATGGGAGTGCGCATGGCTGTGCTTCTTGCCTTGGGAATGATCGTGTCCGTGATCGTGCTCGCCGTGCGAGTGCGAATGACCGTGGCCATGATCGTGACCGTGATGGTGATGGCCGAAGCCCCACAGACCCAGCAGGTTGATCACGCCGCCGAGGAAGCTGACGATGAGCAGCTCCTTGAGACGATGGAGTTGTTGACCTTCCCATATTCGCTCAAACGCCTCCACAATAATCTCAACACTCAATAACCTGTATATTGTTAGACGTGGCCTGCCCGTGATTGTAAGTGCACCTACATCAGCAAAATGCCGTTGGCGAAGCCGCTCAGCGTCTCAATCTTTCCTAGACCAAAAGGAAATCGCTGGCTCTGGGGCCACTTGCTCGTCACGGCCGCGCAGAGGCCGACGAAGAGGGCAAAACAGTCGAAAAACATGTGAATCGTGTCGCTCAGCAGGCCGAGTGAGTCGGTGACGTAGCCATAGAAGGCCTGGACAGCCATGAAGCAGAAATTGAGCCTGCGAAAACACGCGTCAGTCATTGAAACCACAACAAGACCTATTGACCTACGTCATAAAGTAAAAGATCCGCCGCGAGTCCTTCTCTACAACAATTGTGTGCAAAAATGGTAACGCAGGCGTGTATTTGAGGATGATTTTGGTAAACAAAGACGGCTTCGAGTGATCGTGGGCATGGCCGTGGGAGTGGTCGTGGCCATGGCTGTGAGAATGACCGTGGCAATGACCGTGCGAATGGCCATGGTCGTGGTCGTGATCATGTTCGTGGTGGTGTTCGTGTATCACCGTGCCGTCGAGGGGCTGGAAGTTCTCCGAGAAGGAGCCGCTCGTGGGCGTCAGGAGTTGTCGACCGCTAGGGGTGATGTCCGTCTTCCATCCGTCCATGGCAGCGAGCGATCGCGGCACCGCCTTTTCCCGCAGAGACGACTGGCTCGAGTTTCCTCTGGTGTGGGAATGGCTGTGGCCGTGGGCGTGGCCATTGTGACTGTGTTGATGGTCGTGGTCGTGTACGTGGCCGGTCGAGTCTTGGCTCTGGCTGTGGGTATGCAGCCCACCGTTGGACATTGTCGACTTCAGCGCATTGAGGGACGGGGGCGAGTGGGAGTGAGAATGCATGTGGTGATGGTGGGCATGCGGTAGGGCGGAGGATGGCAAGGCGTAGGACGAGGCCATGTTGACCGCGGAGAAAGGGTTGCAATCTCGTCGGGGTCGGTCTGGGGTCGGTGTCGGTGGTCGGTATCGGCGGGGATCTAGGCGAGAAATTGATGTCGTTTTCTTTGGCTCGTTGCTGTCGCGCTCTCCACCGAGGACCCGTCGATTCGGGACCCTTTGCAGTAACCCCCTATCGCAAATCAACCCAAGTCATGGGTCGAGGAGTTTAGCCACTGCTTTCGTGTCTGTGTCTCGTGGGCGAAGCTGGTGGGAAGGAGGATGTAGCAATTGAGGTGTCGTGGGACGTTCGGCAGCCGTGGCCGTGGAGCTGGGAGGAGAGGAGACGGAGACGGAGACGACGGGAGTGCTAGGGAAGAATAGCCAGAGGTAGGTACGAATAGTAGCAGCGGCAGAATGACAGACGGGAGTCGTGTGCCCGTGTCTAGCGCTGGATTCGCCTTATCCCAGCGGCAGTTCAGGGGACTTGCACAGCTGCAGTCCTGCACAGGCTAAAGGAGCGGAATGGAGTCGCCCCGTCAATGACGTTGCGCTGGGTGGTGGGAGGCTTTGATCGACGATGGGCGTGCCGGCGGCGCGAGTCGCACAGACGAGCCGATGCTGGAAGCAGCCAAGATGGAGGAGATTCTCGTCGACGGTTTCTTTGTGGAAGACGGAGTCGACGATGGACGCAATAAGGTAGGCTGGGAAGCTTTAGGTAGATAAGAAAAAAAAAGAACACCGTTCAAACCAAAACAAGCAGGCCAAAAGTTTAAGGTGGGATGTGGCACACCCGGGACTCGGAGCGTTGTTATTTTTTTGGTTTTTGGCTGAACCCGACCACGGGACGCCGGGCGGTGCCTCCTTTCAGACGAATGCCTCTCAGTCTGTCTCTCTCCTCCCCCCTCTGTCCCTGTCCCAATGAGGAATCCGGCGGTCAGCCCCTGCAGATTGCTCCGTGTGGGGAGGAGGCTAGCAGCTGGGAAGCGGCACGTTCGTAGTCGCGTTGTTGTTGATTCGCTGTGTTGGCCGTCAAGAGGGGGCGTCGGGCTGGGAGTTGGCTGCATAAAGTTGCCCATGCAGACAATGCGACCCCGATCCTAGGCCGATAATCGCTGATGTGCCTGCGGTCTTTTTGACGACCACGGGTACTCTGTACTGAGTACTGAGCAGGCGTCATGATTTGGGAAGGTCCTCTGTCACTCAATACCCAGAGGCTAGAGAGCTGGCCAATTGATTCCCAGCCCCAATTGCGACATGTCTCTGGGTGTCTGGGCATGCCATGCTTGTCTGAGAATCTCAGATGGAGATGCGCGCATTAATAACCAGCGTGGTCGATGCGGCTGGTCTGTGTTCTGTCTGGCATGTGCAACAGCTGGTTTCCCCTTAATTGGGTGACGACAGAACATCTCAGCCTCAGTTCCGCCTTGATGGGCGATGCGAATTGAATTGAAGCAACCACGCAACTGTGAACAGGACGTGGACCCAGCGATACCGATACGGCGTCTGCAGGTCGACCGCTGCAAGCTTGTGGGTACGTACCTTGCTCATTGTCCCTCACACGTGACCCGCCACCTTCCCGTTGTTATCGCCGACGGCATCCCCTGATTGGCGCCACAGTTGCAATAGCAGACAACACCCAACCCAAGTTGGAAGGCGCGAGCAGAACGACTCTGGAGCGTCTTGGAAGAGGGGCCCGGCCAAGACGACAGCACTTTTGCGCCTTCCAATATCCCTTCGCAACAGGCCATTGCTAATCTCCAGCGCCAAGAACGAGATATTGCTCCTCCGGTGCAGCGTACAAAAAGCTGCTGCCCGAGTCCCACTACCCGGGCCACCTCCCACCCACCCATGCGCCCGGGCTAAGGCGATCTTGCAACTTCGGATGACAGCACCGCGACAGCACAAGACAGGACAGCTTGCATAAGCGTCACCACCGCCGCGACATCTGAGAGCCAAGACCCGACGACAATCTGAAACTCCACCAGGCTCGCATCGTCACCGCTCCCGCCCAACGCAACTGTCCACTCGGCGCAACCACTAGCCACGATGTCGGCCCTGGCGCTGGTGGTGTCTATCGTCGCGGGCGTCTTCACCACGCTCATCGCGGCCTTTGGCATCAACTCCCTCTCAAGGCTTCTGCCGACTCGCTACCATGCGGCTGAGAATCCCAAGGATGACCACATTCAGATCCTGGTGCTGGGCGACATAGGTCGGAGCCCGCGCATGCAGTACCACGCACTCAGTGTCATGAAGCATGGAGGAAGAGTCGATCTTGTCGGTTATAAAGAGACAGCTCGGCTACCAGATCTCGTTGGAAATGAGAGAGTCGCCTTGTACCCTCTTCCGCCTTTGCCTGCAGTCTTCAAGTGGAACACGCTGCCATTCTTGATCAACAAGCCAGCCAAGGTCGTCTGGCAAATGTGGTCCATCTTCCAAGTGCTGGCTTACACCGCACCCCCCGCAAGATGGATCATCATTCAGGTATGTGAGCCGCAAACTTATGAGTTGCTATCTAACTCGGTCCAGAATCCCCCTTCCATCCCCACACTGCACCTGGCTCTCCTCGTTTCACTGCTCAGAGGAAGCCACTTGCTCATCGACTGGCACAACTACGGCTGGTCCATCATGGCCACCGGCCGCAGCAAGAAGAACCCCCTGGTCTGGCTGTACAAGAAGTACGAAATCTTCTTTGGCCGACTCATTCCCACCGCCAACCTCACCGTCACCCACGCCATGGCCCGTCAGCTCCGTGAAAAGCCCTACGACAACAAGAAGCCCATCTTCGTCCTGCACGACCGTCCCGCCCAGGTGTTCCAGCCCATCGAGTCAGCCGAGGCTCGTAAGGCCTTCCTCTCCAGCATCAAGGAGACCAAGAACGTCGCGGATAGCATCTGCGACGGCACCACCCGCCTTATCGTCAGCAGCACCTCGTGGACGCCCGACGAGGACTTTGGTCTGCTGCTGGACGCATTGGTAGCCTACGCACACCCCGAAGAGGCCGTCAGCTCAAGCGGCGTCGGCAGGCCCCCGATCCTGGCCATCATCACCGGCAAGGGCCCCCAGAAGGCCGAGTACGAAGAGAAGATCAAGAAGCTTCGCATCGAAGGCAAGCTGCCCGGCATCACGATCCTCACCGCCTGGCTCTCAACGCGCGAGTACGCCTCCCTCCTCGCCTGTGCCGACCTCGGCGTGTGTTTGCACATGTCCAGCTCCGGCGTCGACCTGCCGATGAAGGTCGTGGACATGTTCGGCTCCGGCCTGCCCGTCGCGGCGTACTCCGCTTACGAGAGCTTCAGTGAGCTCATCAAGGAGGGCGAGAACGGGTGTGGTTTCGAGACTGCGACCGAGTTGGCCGAAGTCCTCATCCGACTGCTGAGTGAGGGCGGCGAGGACGAACTGGAAACACTGAAGGCCGGTGCTGTTAAAGAAGGCAGTTTGAGGTGGGATGAGGAGTGGGATCGTGTTGTTGGCAGGGTCGTGGGAGTCATAGATAGCTGATACCTTTGAGTTCAATAGAAAATATCCTTGGGTGTCGAGTAAAAGACGTGCCATTTTTCAACCTTCGACTACGCAATGATTTGCACACAATTGCAGGATGGCAAAAATACAAATCTGCCAAATCAAAGCCGGGAATGACAAAAGATTGATTTCGCCCGGACTTGAACCGGAGACCTTCAGTGTGTTAGACTGACGTGATAACCAACTACACCACGAAACCATTGAACACCTTGGAAGGTACTGTGGTGATGGGAGGATTGGGTCAACTCTAGCTGATTAAGTCTGTGGGGCAGAGTTTGGTGTGTGAGCCACTGGTGCCCCGACTGTTCCCTGCAGGTCAACTCATCAATTCCTCGCAAGGAACCGCACATTAACACACATGGCACCCGTCAATGTGATATGAGTGAATTACAGAGCATGACTATCAGTGAATATAACATCCTCCTGTCAGAAGTATGTACTCCCCGTTAATCCAGCGCGATCTTTCCTCCGCAAGAAATGCCACGGTCCACGCAACATCCTTCACATCGCCAAAGGCGCCCTCGACAGGCGTCCTATGATCCAAGTCCTGTTTGACCATATCAAAGTGCGGACTGATGTTCTTGAGGAACGTCTCCGTGCTAATTGGGCCAGGCGCAACCGCGTTGACGGTGCAGCCGTACACAGGAGGCAGCTCCTTAGCCCACACCCTAATCATGGCGTCAAGCGTCCCCTTGCTCGCCGCGTACATGCTCTGGTTCACCTCCGGCATCCGCGACGCGACAGAAGCCACGATTATAATCCGTGATCCGCCTCCGGTGGCCGCTGATGCCGACTCCGGCTTCATCGCGCGCGGCTCAAAAGGCGTGAGATGCGGCAGCGCGGCCTTGACCAGAAGAAACGCGCCCCTGGAGTTCAAATTAAGCGCCCGATCCCACGTATCCGCGTCCGCCTCTCCGAGCGGCCCGAGAGGCACCATGCCGGTGTTGCTGACCAGAATGTCGATCTGCTTGAACCGCGCCACGGCCGCGGAGACCAGGGCCGCGGGGCCCGAGACGGTCGACAGGTCGGCGCAGACGGCTATCCATGGCGTGTGAAGCTTGGCGCCGATCTGCTCGCACTCAGTCTGCAGGTGTGGGAACGGGTAGTTCAAGACAACGTTTGCGCCGCGCGTGGAGAGTTCGATGGCGATGGCGGCGCCAATGCCGGCAGAGGAGCCTGATATGACGGCTGTTTTGCCCTGCATTGAGGGTGTTTGCGGATGGTCGGGAGGAGACATGTTTGTTTGACGTGTTTTGGGGTTCTTGAGTGCAAGCAAGTTGTCTTTCCACTGACATGAAGAAGTAGACAACGTGAGCGACAAGTAAGAGAGGTTTCCTGGAGACGCAAGGGACGACCCAGGCAGACGCACCAGACTCGGTATTCATAATTGCGAATCGACTTCTACTCCAGAGCGAACACCGGTGCAACCGAGTTTGGTTTAAGAAAGCAAGGTTAAGCTTAGATATCGGAGCAAACGTTCGGAGTGCGGAAGGCCGAGGCCGTTGTGCGGGAAATCGGCTTCGAAGCCGCCGGAAATTCGCACATTGACCTTTCACCCAGCTAGCTGTTTGAAGAAGATAATTTCCTGCGTGTGTGAGAAGAAAGGTCTTAGTGCGGCTGAAATACCCGTCGGCGCAAAGCAAATTTTCTTCACAGGAGCCGGACGGAATACCCCTATTGCACCAGTTTTCAGGGTAGCCAGGCTTGACTTTGTTTTATCTCAATGACTACTATATTATGTAGCACAGACTTCTCAGTGATACGAAACGTGAAAGCCCTTTTTGCTTTCAGAGGACACTGTTGAAGTTTATCGCGCGCTCTGAACCCATGCTGGGATGGTCGAAACGCATAGAGATGTGTGAAGGAAATGCCAAATATGCATGCAATTCATTTATAAAACTAGGCTACTTCTTGGAGCCTGTCGAGCACGCGTCGAGACTCTGCTGTATGTCCTGTTTGATGTCTTCGATATGCTCCAAACCAACTGACATCCGCACCATGTCTTCAGTGACACCTAGGTCGGTCTTCTCCTTCGGATACATTGGCTTGTGTGTAGATGACCAGGGATGGGTTGCCGCACTTTTGGCGTCGCCGAATCTATTTCACATTCTCTGTTAGACGGATGAAACGCGAAACGTAGATGACAATGGGAGCCATCAAGCACTCCGTGGGTGGCACTGACGAGGCCATGTGGGTGATGAGCTTGAAGCCGTCCACGAGTGATTCTCCAACAACGGCACCACCTCTTACACCGAAGAGGATGACAGCCCCAGCGCCGCGAGGGAAATACTTGGTAGCGGCAAGATACTTCGGATGGTCTTCCAGCCCGGGATAGTCGACCCAAGAGATGCTGGGATGGCCACGCAGCCATACTGCAAGCTCTGTCGCGTTTCGTGTGTGTCTCTCACACCGCAGGCTGAGCGTCTCCAGTCCAATGAGAAGGTCTCGGCTATTGTACGGCGACAGACAGGCCCCAGAATCGCGGAGGATCTGGTGCCTGAACCGGTTCACGAAGGCGAGCTTCCCATAGGACTCGTGGAAGTTGATGTTGTGGAAGCCCGGTTTGGGCTGGTTGAGCTTCGTAAATCTCGGGCTGCGCCAGTCGAATCTGCCCGAGTCAATAACGACGCCGCCGACGGAGGTCCCGTGGCCGCAGATCCACTTGCTCGCGCTATGCGTCACGATGTCCGCGCCGTGGAGGATCGGCTGGCACCAGTAGCCTCCAGCCCCGGCGGTGTTATCGACCACCAGAGGTATGCCATGCCGGTGAGCTACTTGAGCAATGGCCTCGATATCTGGCACGTTCATGCGTGGATGCCCCATACTTTCGAGATAGATGGCCCTCGTAGTCTCGTTTACCGCCGCCTCGATTGATTCCGGGTTTTCTTGGGCGATATCCACCGAAATGCCCAGGTCCGGCAGCAGGAAGCTGAACTGATTGTATGCGCCGTGGTACATGTTAGCAGTCGATATGATGCTCTCGCCTCGTCCGGCCAGACACAGCATGGTCATGAACACAGCTGACTGGCCAGAGGCAACGGCAACGGCGGCGAGTCCGCCCTCCAGCGCCGCCATTCGCTTTTCCAATACGTCAGCGGTTGGATTCGATGTTCGGGTGCCGATGTGTCCGTCTTCCTCGAGGCCGTAGCATCGTGCTGCGTGTGCCGAGTCGTCAAAATTGAAGTATGCAGTTTGGTAGATAGGTACGGCTCTTGACTTGGTGACCGGGTCGGTTTGCTGGCCGGCGTGTATTTGCAGTGTTTCAAACCTGGAAGCCATGGTGAATGTTGGTAGTGAAGCTAACAAAGCTTGTCTGCAAGCGAAACAAATTTCTGTATCCCGTGATGATAGGCTATTGAAGCCTCGGGGGAATTGGTCTCTCGCCCCCAGAAAAGCCCTTTGTAATCGCGAGGTTCAGTTTTCGGCGCTCTCGGTAAGTGGCTCCGGACATGGGATGAGATGTTGCGACGTATCTCGGAACTGCGGAGAGTCGGACGCGAATGTCAAATTTGCCGGCTGAGCTTGCGTGGAAGACATTTCAAGCTCATAACATTCGGAATTCGGTCTACGGCGTGTTTTCCACTCAATATGGATGCACATACGCTGGTAGATGTGTCATTAAATCGTCTCCTTAGAGGAGCATAGAAGCCGCGTCCGTTAATTCATTGCCTTCATTCGTGTTACTCGGGCTGCATTATTCAAACTCCCAATCAAATCTTCACACCCACCCAAACATAGTTAAATACGCCATGGCACCCCTCGAAGTCATAGTTGTCGGTGCCGGATTCGGAGGCCTGTCTGCGGCAATCGAGTGCCGGCTGCGAGGCATGAAAGTTACTCTCATAGAGCGATACGTCGACTCAAACACTCGTGGAGGTAATCAAATCTCCAAGCATCTTTCTTTTCAGTTGGCTCACATGCAATGCCCCTTTACTTCTGCGTGATGGGACTGACCTGACGGGTGTCAGATATCATCGACTTCTTCGTCAACGGCGGCCTAGTCATCTCTAGATGGCATGAGGGAAAGGTGGGCCAGGAAATCCTGTCCATCGGGTGCGAATCCGACGTGCTTGAGATGTACAAATATGACGGCACGCTTCTCTACCCTGTTCCCTGGTTCATGAAAGACGAAGATCGAACCAAAACTTTCGCTGCTCATCGGGGCAAGCAGCATGGCATCTTCATGGCGTATGCACGCCGTCTCGGTGTCCAGATTGAACTGGGAAAGTCGATTGTGGATTACAAGGAATCCGAGGAGCACAACCAGGCGGGCGTCACGTTCGCGGACGGGAAGACTATCTGGGCCGACTGCGTCATTGCTGCCGATGGCAGTCGATCTTTCGCGCGCAAGGCTGTTCTTGGTCTCGAGAACGAAGAGGAGAAGAGCGGATGGGCCATCTTCAGGTCGTACTTCACCGCGAGCGAGAAAGCCCTGGCCCATCCCGATCTCAAGAGCTTCTTCCGCAACGGCGAGGACGTCATCAAAGCCTGGGCCTACGACAACCTCAGCATCCTGGCTTATTCTTGGAACGGCGGAAAGGAGGTCGCCTGGGTCATGATGCACCCAGACAACAACGACGTCGAGGAATCTTGGTCTCACAGCGTGCCCAAATCCGCTGTCGACCCCTTCATTTCCGTGTTCGCCCCCGAGTGCAAAGCCTTGCTGGAGTGCACCCCGCCTGAATGCTTGATTGACTTCAAGCTGGTTTACAGGCCTCACATCAAGAAGTGGACGTCCAAAGGCGGCCAAATCATCCTCATTGGCGACGCGGCCCATGCTCATCTTCCGACCTCCGGCCAGGGTGGTTCACAGGCAATCGAGGATGCCGTGACAGTCGCCGCGTGTCTCGGGAAGTCCGATGGCGATGTCAAGTTAGCCCTCGAGGTTGCCCAGAGACTGAGGTATCACCGCGCCAACAAGTTCCACGCGAACGCTATTGTGCACAGAGATGCGTTTCACAAGGTTGACTGGGACACTATCCAGGCCAACCCAAAGGAGTGGGCAATGAAGCGGTTTCCTCGGGTCAGAGACTTTGATGCGCAGGCTGTAGTGGATGAATGGTACGACAAGGTCAAAGAAGATGTCATCAGCGGAAAAGAGGGTACACTGGAAGAATTGGCGATCCCACTGTTGCCGAAGGAAGGAGTTTACTGGTAGACCAGAGTTCACAGTGACCGCATAGATGTGTTGCTGTTACTTAGATTAGTTGGTCTCGCGTCATGTATAAGCTAGGATGCAAATGGTATCGATAGTATTTTCCGCATAGACAGTTTGTGTATCTGTTTCTGAGGACTTTATTTCACGGGTGATAGGCGTCTGTGACTAATTGCACCTAAGAAACAAGCCTGCTAGTAGGAATATATCAGACTTTGCATTATCATCATCATTGCGAAGGAAACTTGGCATAGACAAGCCGAGATGAGTTATTGATAAATTGACCAGATCATTGCTAACATCGTCGGCTTTTGACCCGGTGCCTTCTGGCACTTGTGCCTTGCGTTGCCCGAAGGTCATTTCTCGCCAGCCCTGATGCCGATCAAGGTTTCCAACTTCAGCCCCGTAAACCGGCCCTGAGCGTAAGTGAAGTAAAGAACGGTCGCAAAAGCGAAGATGCCTGCAACGATAACGATCGAGTAATTCATGTTGGACGCCTTCACCGGCAGTGTTGTCGGAAATGACGGGAAAACGATGAGGAAGCCGCACCATACCACTGACATGGTGTGAACGATAACACGGAACCGGCCTATTTGCCAGGGCCCCAGTTCAAACTCTCCGCCGATCGATCGGTACATCAGCAGCCCGATGGGAATGATATACGAAACCATCTGTAGGATTAGAAAGGCTGACAAAAAGGCAAAGAAGGCCGTAGTGTTCCATATGTAGATCAGACAGATCAGACACAGGGCAACAAATGTCACCAATAGAGCCCGCACCGGAACATTCCACTTTGGATGAATCTTGGACAATACCGGGGGCAGCGCGCCATTCAAGGCGGCCGAGTGGATGGCGCGCCCGGCTGAGCCGACGAGGTTCATGCTCGCACCAGCGCCGACTGTAAAGGTCATAACCTGCAGGAAAACTGCCACTGAGACGTTTTGGGTTGAGTTCAGGTAAATTTGCGCCATCGGACTCACAAAGCTTACTGGAGACTGCAGGAGTAAATCCAAGCTGCCGGTACAGAAGAGCAATGCAAGCACCCAAGGAAGGCAGAGCAGTGCGTTGATAATCAGCGAGTACAGGACTGTGAGACGTTAGTGCCAGCGTTGGATCCGTGGCAATCTGTAACATACGTGCTCTAGGGATGTTGTTTGCTGCGTCTCTGGTCTCCTGACTGAACATGACACCGGAATGGATGCCGCCAAACCCGGCGCACGCCGTAATGATGCCCACCCAGAAGGCGATCCCGTCGGTTGGCCACCCAGAAGTGTTCTGAAACTCTACAAAGACGCTCGGAGCGCTGTTCTTGTTCTCAGTAGTGGCGAGAAGAACAATCATGGTGATGAAGAGAAATGATAGGTGTATGAATGCGGCTGTGTCCTATCAGCATGACTCGAAAGAATGCGATGACTGGCAATACTCAATACCCCCAAAGTTTACCAAGTTGAAGAGCTTAACTCCGAATATGTTCACCAGCAGATGAATGGTTAGCAGTGCCCAGTACATCTGTCGGTAAAGTTAGTCCTAGTGGTACTGAAAATTGCGGGCAATGCAATGGTCGTCAAAAAGAAGCAGATTTGTGACTGACACAGGGCAAGTGCCAACGTTGAGGCACGTATGTGGGATTCTGCAGCATCACTGCTGCTTGAATCTGTTGTACGACGCCCACGGCCACAGATACTGCGGAAAGAAGAAGCCCGCACAGGCTTGCCCAGACGACATAATATGACTATACATTCGTAAGTGTCACGGGCTAGAGCCCGGATTGATATCTCCGGCTTCGCCGGAGCAGTTACCGAGATCCGGCTCCGTTGGACCCACTATTCTGCCGCAGTACGCCGCCTAACCCGGCCTGCTTCACCGCTGTTAGGTGCCTACCCTT